TCCTAACCCCACAGGTACCGTGAGGTTTCTCCAGGGAAAGGAGAGAAGTGTGTGTGTGTGTGTGTGTGTGTGTGTTGGGGGATGGGTGGGAGGAAGGGTCTGCGTTGGGCTGTGGGCCGTGCCCTTTGTTTAATCTGGGGACTGTCTCAGGCCACCCCAGGGAGCACTCTGCTACTCCATCTGCGTCCTGGTGACAGTAAGCTCTCTTTTCTGGCCGTGGAAGTGCATTCCTGTGTGTGTGGAAAGAGAGAAAGCAAGACAGGAGCCAGAGCTAGCACAGGAATGTGAGTACTTCCTTAATTGGACAAGTGAACCTTGAACTGGTTCCAGTTGGAGTGTTTTCTTTTAGGGCCTGGACCCTAAAAGTTCCATAGAGGTTTTTTTCTCAAAAAAAAAAAAAATCCATGTGGTTCAAAGGCCCCTTGATAAAAATAAAGAAAAAGTACGGGCTGAGTCTTTTTGATGTTTGGGAAGGCAAGAGTTGATGGGCAGCCAGATTCCAGGCTGCTTTGGGGTGAAGAGGGCTCTGGATGGAGAGGAGGAGGCACCTCTTGAGGTGACACATGGCAGGAGGACCCACAGCCTTTGTCTGGGGCCTCAGAGTCCTGATACTGAGCACTTTTCTCTGGAGCATTCATAGAAACAGTTTCTCTCAGACTTATCAGTGCCCTGACAGGAGAAAAAGAGACTTCCACCCCTGCCTTGCTTTCTTTAGGAGAGAGAGACAGAGAGAGAGAGAGAGAGAGAGAGAGAGAGAGAGAGAGAGAGAGAGTGTTAAGTACCTTCCGAGGACAAAGAGCACGGTGACTCAAAGGCTGCTTGCAGGATTTTGTCCGTGAGCGTGCCTTGCTTCATGTGGTTGACTCCTGATTTCCAACAGCTAAAGCGAGAAGGTGGGCTCCGACTCTCAGGCCTCTGTTTCCATCATGTGCCCCCGCTTGGAATGATCAGAAGAGGAAGAGAGAAAATGCTGGGACATGGGACTACCACAGTGGCCACTGCTTGCCTCTGGAATCTGCCCCTTGCAGCCCAGGGACTCCAGGGGTGAATGAAACAGTCTGTGACTGACACAGAGTAAAAGCCTGAAGCTGATGAACTCACTCTGCTGATCTCCCCTTTCCCCCAAACACCTGAAAAACAAGCCCCGCGTCTGCTCAGTGCTTTCCAATCTGCCAACTGTTTTCACAACATTATCTCTTTTCGTTCTCACATCAACCCACACACGTTCTTGCTGTTCAGATTTTTTATGTACTCAAATGAGTTTTATGTACTCAAATGCACTGAAAAATTGGTCAGAAACTCCTCCTACCCACTTTTTTTTTTTTTAACCATAACCCTTTGACTGATATCTTTAAGAAGCTCCTAGGTTCCCAGGGTGAGGAACTTGCCTATTCTGCCTGCCCTGACCTTACTGGATAGATGCTAGGAGTGCTGGCCTTTGCTATTGGAACTCACACTTCTGTATTCAGCTCATAGTCTAGCTGATAAAAAAAAGCCACAGAGACCATAATGGTGGCATTCTAGGGAAAACAGGCTTTGGAACCAGCAAGCCCTAAAACCAAGTTCTGGTTTGACTATTTGAGAGCCTTGTGATCAAAGTTACTTACCCTCTAGCACCTCTATTTTTCCATCTGTAAAGTGGAACAATAGAGCCTATGTCTAGGCCATTGTGAGGCGGAAGGTGGTAGCAGATAGGAGTGTGTCTCAGGAAATGTGATCCTTTCTCTTCCCCTATTTTCCTCCCCAAGATCAAACAGCTACTCTGTGAAGTTCCTTGTACCTAGCCCAAAGCTGGTGCTAAAATATTAAAGTACCAGTTTCTCTGCTACTAGGCAAAGGCAGTGAAATACTGTCTTTGTGCAAGCCAAAGAGAGATACAATGTGGTATGTGATGCTAAATGCATTTAGATGGAGACTTCTTTTTAACTAGATGAATAATGAGCTATGTGTCTTGCCTACATAGCTCAGTTCCAACTGAGGCAAATCTACTAAGATCTTAAATTCATTACCTCCATTCTTCTAAAAAAGTGTTATTTTAGGCAAGGGAAAGAGGGAGCTAGAAAACCAAACTTAGGCAAAGTTGGAAAGCAAGACAATTCTGACTACACCTAGGTTCTTACTGAAGCTGAGCTACAGTTCAACCCTTCGTTTCCTCGGGACAAAGGTGACAGAGGGAGGTAGGGCAGAGGACTCTGGCTGGGTATTTAGCTCCCCGATCTGTATGTGGTAGACACTTCTCAATAAATGTTGGTGAGGGTGTGAGACAGTGCAGAGTACAGATCTTGTGCTTGATCTTTACAGCTGACTTCTTGGCAAACGCAGTGCACACTGGAGTGTTATAGCGGAAAGAACATTTGACCAGTGGTCTTAGGCCCAAGTTCCACTGGTGCCACTTAATAGCCTGGTGACCGCGGGCACACCACTTGATCTCTTCAGTGTCTTCTAAGCTGTAAAATGAGGAGATGGCAATGGATGATTTGGAAGGTCTCTTTCAGCTCTAAGGTTCTGGGGCTCTAAGTGACATCACTCGATTGTGTGTCTGTTCCTTCATTGATTCGAGGTCAGGAGGTGTTAAAACCAATCTCACTGGGCATTGGGAAGACACATTTTCATGTTTAAATTCCCTGGGCCTTAAGAAAAACAAAGGAGAGGCGGTGAACAGAGCAATCGAACAGACAGGGGTGCTCAGTGTGTGAACAGCCTGTGAGTTCCAGGCCCATCCTGGCCCTCTGTAGCTGAGTGATCTTTGCCAAGTCTCCTAGGTCGTTTCAGCCTCAGGCCACACATCTGTAAATCCAGAACTCTTAAATTAAACTAAGTTAATCTTCCCCAGTGTTCTTGTGAAAGCTGAGGTAAGGACGGTGCCACTATGCAAGGCACTATGTAAAGTGTGAGTGAGAAATAGCCTGCTTGCTACAGTTCAGCCTGCTGTATTCCAAATGTATGAATGTGTTACCAAGGTCTCAGAGGAGAGACAGACAGTATAGATTTGGGGGTCACAATCCAAGGTTTATTTTCCACTCTAATCCATTGACAGCTGAAATTTAGCTAAGCAGGCATTTAAACCAAGTTTTCCAAACAGTAGGCATCAGGTAATGACTTCAAAGTCCTCCCAGTCCAGGCAATCTCCCAGAGGCCAGTTCGCTGCTGCCCTGCTTCTGATCCTCTTCTCCTGAAGGAGCTCATTTTGACTTAAGGCATGGGGTGTGTTGGCGGAGGACAGGTTTCTGAGTTTTCAAAGTTTCAGTAGGCAATCATCACAAATATGTTAAGTCTGTGTGTTGTATGTCAGTGCCGTGTGGCAGCCTTTTGTCCTCCCAGGCCTTGCCACGGTTTGCTCCTGGGGAGAGGCAGAAGGCTTCTGTCTGCAAGTCCCAGCCTGGAAAGCAGCTCTCCAGGCACTGGCTTCAGTTTGGCTTCCCTGATGACTACATGTCACACCCAGACCACCACACTGAGAATTCCCATCCTCTGATGGGCATGGACAGCCCCTCTGTCTGAAGTAACACCACTCCCAGAGTGTCCCCTGTTAGTACCTAACCTGAAAGTGTAGCCCTCACTCAGGACAACCCCCGCCCCAAGAGGAGCGGTTGCAGCCGGTACCTTGGGCACCAATGTATTCCTGGGGTAGGGTCAGCCTACTGAATTTTTCTCTTTGGAGAGACAGATTATCATGAAGCTCTGTTTTCTTAGAAAGCACTTTTAACTCAGGTTGTATATAGGAAAATTGGAAATAGCAATGTTATTTTAATATATTATTGATCGTCTTTATTAGAGCCAGTTTGGGAGAGCGATGAACATTTTGAGGGCCCCTTTTCCCAGGATCCCGTGGTCCTGCCTGTTAAAACCTTACCTATTATGCCACCATCCTTCTCCCTGAGAGCTCCGCAGTTTCTCTTTTATGCACGTAGACATGAATTCAATGCATTCAGCACCCTTCTTGCAGAGCTGACTTGCTTCTAAACTGAATGAACTGAACTTTGCCTAGCTGTAAGGCCACCTCTCCCCATTCCCCAGCCCTTGGACACACAAAGGTCAAGGTTATACGGCTTTTGTGTGAGGGTGACCGAAGCAGAGGCCACAGAGGGGCAGCTCGGGGTCTCAATCAGATTCCTGTGGTCCTGGATGTGGGGACTGAGCAGCTGGGTAACCTGGACCCACCCTGGAGCGAGACGTTTGGTCAGTGAGGTGCGTTCTTCTGAAGCCCTTTGTTTCTGCTGTCACAGAATGACTCCCTGGACAGATCCTGGAGGTGGCAAGCTAGTGGAGTGTGCTTGTGCGCCTCCCACTGCACCCCCTATGTCTACCGCGGCCCGCAGGCGCGTGCGTGTGTGTGTGTGTGTGTGTGTGTGTCTAACGGAAAAAAACCAGTACGACACCACATCCTTTCTCCCCACAAGCAAAACGGATCTCAGGGTTGCAGACCAGTCCACTGTGAACCAACTGGTCCCCGCCGGCAGTGGGTCCCCAGCTCCATGTCTCTGTAGCCTCCCTATGGCTCGCGCGCAGTGAGCTCAGGATGGAAATGACAATCGCGGTGCCACTGGCGCGACTCCGAGGGAGAGGCCTAATTTGGGGGATGGCCGCAGAGCGGGGTCTGGAGGGGCGGGCTGGGG